AGCCCCGAGCCCGGAGCCCGCCCCCTACAGGCCGCGCGCGGCCACCCAGCCTCGGCCCAGCGAGCCGCGACCCCCGCACACCCTCCCCTCCGCGGCAAGCTGGAGCTCGTCGAGAGCACTAGCTTGGCTCCCACAGCCTTAATTCGTGCTCTGCCTCCGGAGGCCGCCGCCAACCACGGGCTTGCGGCCGGACGCTCGGACTCGACACGATACTCTTGACTACCAGCAGCAAAAATATCCCACCCCACACCGCTCTCCAACTTAGCGGGGTCTGGGATGGGGGCGGAGGGGCGGTCCTTGTCCAAGTTCTACCCCATTTGCTTTGTCGCTGCACCCGAATCGGACGTGCCCTAGGAAGGTGTCCACACTCCAAGACTAGGGTGTCTCCATGCAGTTTCTACAGCCCGAGTTTAAACTAGTCCTTTACATTCTACCCGGCCCTCTGCAATGCGGATGTATTTTAATTCTTAAATTCTTAAGGGAACAGCTTTTTAAGTAGGACTTGATTATTTAACCTTGCATTTCTTTCATAGATGAAGTTTACGAGTCTACATGAGGATCAGCCCTCTACAAAAAGACATTCAGTTTTTCCATTAAATATATTTTTTTACAAAACCAGTGCTCCAAAGGTCATCGCCCATTACACATATTACACTGCTCAAAAAAGAAAATATTAACACCAATTTGTCGACTTGAGTTAAATAAAACTTTCTAATAACGTTGCATTATTCCTAATGTATGTTCATTTGGTCTTCTTTTTAAAAATGGGTTCTTTGATTTAAAGCATGCAGCTAATCACCGATCACTCGAGTGCATATTTGGTTAATCCCTCTATCCCCCTCTTCACTCCCTCCCCCCAAACTTAAAAAAAAAAGCCACCACACACAAAACAAAAACAGTCCCCATGCCAATCAAAACGTAGCAGTACTATGCACAAAACAAATTTAACTATTCCAAACCATTTAAATCTGTGAATAATCACCGAATTTCAGAAGCCCACTTAAGGATAAATTATTTGTAGTCATTCACATATGCATTCACATGCCTACTTAAAAACATTAACTATAGTGTATGTCTTTTTCCTCTAAAACTGGAAACCATGAATTTTTAAACAAAACCAGTCCCATTATTAAAGTCAATCCCAACAAATGAATTCGCTGTAACATGATTCCCAACTGGTTTACGTTGCGAACCAGATAAGCCAAAACGACCACATACATTAAATTTGATGTGCCAGAGCAAGGAATAAGATCGCCATAATCGGACCCTCGATTGCAACTTAAAGGGCTTCCAACACACATGCGTTACACGATTTTCCAAATAACATCAGGAATAATAACATAGGCTCATTTGCATGCAAAGTGCAATACGGGGCCAAACCCACCCGAGAATGCAGTTTAGTTACCTTACCGCAGCCCCCACCACACTTCCAAGCTAAACCAAAATCCCTTGCCTTTTATCTAAAACTAGATTATGGTTGTGTCATTCGAGGTCAATTTATTCACTTGAGGTATCTCCACACCAATCTGTTTTTTCATCCAAACTAGGCAGACACGACTTCGCCTGAAAAGCCCTCTTTCAGAAAAGAAAGAAACAGCCTTATCGGACGCTGTGTTTAAAACCCTTCAGCTGCAGAATTATCTATAAACTTGACATTCACAGCCATTGCTTAAAACTGCAAGTCAAAGGATGTGTTGTTAGGAACACTTACGTATTTCTTCTGAATGATATTCCTCTTGGGTCTTTCCTTGCTCATTCTGAGATCCAAATGCTGATTGCAAAAGGGGACAATTGCTTCATGAATTTAAAGCCGTCAGAAATTTGCAAAGAAATATCCTGGTGGTTTTTATTGTTGTTGGTGGTGGTTGATCTTGTAATCCGACTTTTCTTCCTCTTCCCCCAAAGCCCGATTCGCCTTGAAATAAATCCGAAATTGGGAAGAAAAAAAAAAAAAGAGCCAAAGACGAACGAAGCAAACAAAAAAAAAATTTCACTTTAGTAAAACACTCATAATGGAAAATTTCCCCCGAAACACACACACACAAAAAAAACCGACGCCCTTCACTCCCCCCCTTTTTCCTCCAAAAACTACATCAGCGAAACGTGAAGGTCCTTAGTGTCTGATCTGTAGTTACATCTTGGAAAAGAAAAGGGAAAGATAAATAAAAAATGTTGGAAGTCACGTTTGTGCTGCAGCAGCAGTGAGAGCAGAAGAGTCAACTCCAGCGGCGGCGGCGGCGGCGGCGGCGGCGGCGGCAGCAGCACCACAGCGAGGGCTCGCCGAGTCTCTTTTTTCCAAGCCCCCTAACCAATGAGAGAGAGGCTATCCAGCCCAACTTTAAATGGACTCTGCTTTTATACAAGTTAGGGCTCCTCGGATAATTCCCCTCTAGACGCTAGCCGAAAATTACCACAGCTGAGCCCCCAGGCGCCCGCCTACCCCGGCGCCGACCGCCCCCGGCTCAATCCCGAGGACCCCCGCAGCCCCGTCGACTCGACACCCAAGAGGCCCTGACGAACCCTTCCTGGGCAACCCCTCGGGCATGTCTCCCACGCCGAGCCTAGGAGTGGAATTTAGAGAGGCTCCCTAGCTCAATGCATGGCACGCTCGGTCGCTCCACCTCACCCCCTTTCCCCAGCTTGCCGCTCACCCCACAGCCGCCACACGCTAGCACTTGCCAGTGCCCTCAAGTCTACCTGCAGCGGGGCTAATGGGTACGAGTGCCCCAGGACGCCCGGCCCCGGGGAGAGCCGCCTATTCCCGGGGCACCTTAGAATGGTCCCCTTGATCTTCTGGAAGTTGTAGTCCCCCGACTACAAAATGGCTATGGCTACGGGAGCTGGGAACTACAATTCCCAGCCTGCCCTGCAAGCCTGTCACTCAACTTCCCTCCCTCCTCCTTGCCCCCTCCCCCCCACCCCCCCACTGGCCCTGCCAACAAACGCTTGGACGTGTCCCGCGTGCGACACTGCTAGAGGCTGGCTCGGGATTGGCTCGCCCCCGCCCCCTGGCCCCGACCCTCTCCCCCGGAGGCGGCAGGCCTCCTCCCGGTGCGCCCCGCCCCCACCCGCGGCGCGAACCGCCTGTGGAATCGAGGAATCGCGCTCCGGGCCGAGCCGAGCGGCGGGGGAGGGACGCGAGGTTTCCCCGGGGAAGGCCTCGGAGCGTGGCAGCGCGGGGGGCGGTGTCAACGAGGGGTTGGAGCCGGTCCTAAGGAAAACTGGGCCACGCACCAAAAGGAATCCTCGGTGCGAACTAGTTGATCGGCGGCGCCTGCTGCCTCTGCCGCGCCGCCGGTGTCACCTCAGGACACCGCCTTGCGTAGTCGCACGGAGCGTACTGCGGTCGGGCCCAGGGTAGTCTGAGGTCACCCCTCCTCTCGCCCCGTAGCCGCACGCGCCCCCACGCGCGGGTCGGCTAGGATGGCGGTGGGGAATGGCTACCTCCCGGCACGGCACGCGGCCGGGCAGAGAGGACGGCATCGGGGGTGGCCAAAAAGGGCTGCCTCCTACAAAAGATAACCGGCTTTAAAGAGATCGAACATGACCTTTGCCTTTACGGGCGTATTTTGCGTCCGGGGTGCCCATGAGCTAGACCAAAACGTTGAGGTAAAACAAATGAGTGGAATATGGAGACCGAGCCACATAGACATGCAGACTGTAAGGAAGCATCTGGAACACCGAGTGCCAGGAATATCAACGGCGGTAGCCACGCGAGAGCCTGCTTTTTACCTGCCTCTGCCCCTGTTCTGGTTATTTAATCGCTGACATAAATGAAGCACCAGGCCCTGGTGTAGACTTCTTCTGGCCTTCGCCTTATTAACCACTTGGTCAAGACGCTGGTAGTCATTCTGCATTGTTAATTTCCTTATTCTAACCGGTGTTAGAGAAGTACTGTTTTAAATTACCTCCTTTCAGACTAGTCTCTGAATAAATGAAAAATGGGATCAGTGCTCCCTCATACTCATTTCTATACATTTTATTCTCCTTCCCACTTAGATTCTCCTTCCCTTAAAAGTGTAAATACTCAAGGCAACACCATTACATTTTGTTTGCAGCTGCATTTGAAGAGAGAACCATTGTGTCTAAAAAAGGTCTCAGAAACTGCAGGTAAGAGACCTGGATTCAAATCACACCTTGGCCGCTTTCTAAAAGATAACCAACCCATGGCCCCTGAGCTTGTCAGTTTCTTCATCTGGGAATTAGTGGTGATCAAACCTTGTGGGGAGGCTTATATAATAACATTAACCTAGCTGAGAACCAGACATGTTTATTGGAAACTTTCAGTAAGTGAAGTAAAATGCTTTTTTTAATGCTTTTTAATTATTACTTTACCGATTTAAAACCAATGCTTTCAAAAATAAAATGATTTTGTCATATAGTCATTTCACAATCAGAAAAATAAATGACCTGCACTTTATTATTGCAGGACTTGTTTGTGGTACCATTTGCAAGGAAGGGCCCAGTCAAACATTTGCTAAGAAGGACCCAATAGAACAGACTCCTTTTCAGTAATGGCCACCCAAGTGATTTTATGGTTGGGTTACAACCAGGTGTTTTCAAAAGACTTTTTGATGATTATAACCTGTAAATTGGAGGTCTCCACTTGTCCATACTGTTATGGTTTTAACCAGCTTTCTGGAGACTTAATGTCAAATCTGTCATTCCCCAGGCAAAATATTAGAGAACAAAGGTAGATTTCTTCTTAGTTCCCTTAGCCAGCCCCTGGACTTCTGTGTCCTGGACCTGGGAACTCCCAACTCCAGGTCACCACATATTAAAAGCCATTTTCCTAGTTGAGGCTTAAGGGTAGGGGAAAGAAAATCTGCTCAAATCCAAAAGATCTGGATAACTTTAGTGTTGTTTTCCCTGAAAAGGAAAATAGATTGGCCTTTTTAGCATCGAAAGCCTTTCCTGTTGTAGAAGTAACGGTCTCCTGTGAACTTCCTTTTCCTGCCATCTTGGCAAGGCCACATATTACCTCCCCTTTCTTTTTCCTCTTCTTTTTCACTTTCTGGAAGCCTAATTCACTTTTCTCCTGATGATTTTAACCCCTCTCAGCACTTCCTTGACGTAGTCAAGTCCGGGAATGGAGGATGGGAGGTTGGAGGGAAGACCTCACTAGGTCCACACCTCTGTAGGACCTATGCGCCAGCGCTGTCCTCATCCCGGAGGACACAGAGAGCCCAAAAGTCCTCAGTAGAAAAAGCAGACTTACAATCCATTGTGATACCCAAGTGCCGTATCAACTATATGGGAAAAGTTCTAAAGGGAATACATATATTAATCTTATATTTTATGCATTTTTATTTTTTTTTAAGATTTTATTGGAAAATTGAGGGAGGGGAACAGACAAGTTGCTGTCCTCTTGTTCTTCAGTCTAGTTGTAGAGGATGTCGCTTCACCGGCCCATGTTGGTATTATCATTGCGCTCTTCCTGGGTGAGGCAGTTTGGTCGCTGGCCACTGGACGGCTACTCACTCACGGCGGCTCTTGGCAGCTCACACCAGCTGCCGGCCGCTCATGGTAGCTTACGGGAGCCCACTGAAGCCCCACTGCAGCCTACGCCGTCTCCTGCGACTCATGGCAGCCCAGCTCCAGGTCGAGCTGTTGTTCACCATCTTAGCTGTAGAGGGCGCAGCATCACTGGCCCTCATGTAGGATCCGAACCGGGGCCCTGGTGCTCAGAGCTGGCGTCCCAAGCCAACTCTTAACCAACGTGCCACTCAGCCGGCCCCACTTTATGCTCTATTAATTATATCAGTTATCCACTCCAGGAATTAGGGAGTTTTGAAGGATGAGTATGGGTTCTGCAGTTTAAAGTAAGTGAAACAACTTTTTGGTATGAAAAAAATCATGAGACCTAAAAATATATACCACATTTATGAATGGGATTCAGTTTTCGTTTGGGAGTGACTAAAGATGAGACAGAGGTAAGTGGGAGACAGGACCAAAAAGGTTCTGTATGCCAGGCAAAGGAGTCTGGACTTTGCCTGTAAGCTAAAAAGGATTTTTAAGGATTTTGAAGGATTTTCACTAAAGGTATAAAGCAGATAGATTTGTGTTTTTCAAAAGTAATTCTAATTGTGTGAGAGGTGAAATTGAGGATTGGAGAAGAGAGCAGGCAGGGAGACCTAGAAACCTGTTGCAATGTTATCGCATAAATGAGGTGAGAATGCAGTGGCAAAGGAAATACCATATAGCGCAGAGAACAGGTTGAGAAATGTTTAGAATGTCAAAAGTCCATAGGACTTGGGAACTGGTTAGCTGGAGAGAATAGTGACTGATTCCTTAATCTTACATTGTATGCTCTTTTAATTGTTGGGTTGTCAGAAAACTCATGATGTATTTTTTTCTATGTTTTTCATTGCAAAAATGTGTCATGACTTTTCCGATGACCCAATAATCAGTTATCCACTCTAGGAAGAATGGGAACATGTTGGAGATGAAAGAGGAAAAGTAGCAAATCATCACACACAAATAAGAGCAGGCACTCACTATTCTGGGTTCAAATCTGTATGGGCAATCATATTAAGCATTTTAGTTCACCATTTGATTTCCTATAAGAAATAAAGAATAAGCTTCCTAAAGTCAAAGACCATGTTGTCTACTTCTCATGTTCTTCCCAAAGCTCCAGAAACTTCATAGAATTTGGAAGTGTCCAATAAATGCTTACTTTGAATATTTCACCAAAACCATAATGCCCAATTATTTAGATCATTGCCAGCCATTTAGTCTGTTACTATCATCTCCAATTCTATTCTGGAACACAACTGTTTTTCCCCTTGCAGCATCCAAATCCAATACAGTTTTGTACAGTCTTCAAGGTCCCAGCTCCAGCCTTATTTCCAATTCAGCCTGGCTGTTTGACTTAATCATTCTTGAATTCTCATTGCCCCTGTTACTTCAGCCGCATTTCTTAAAAATAAAAATTGTATGTATTTAAAATGTACAATGGGATGTTTTCATGTGCATATTTATTTTGTAATGACGGCTACAGTCAACTAATTAACATATTTGTCATCTCACATAGTTACCATCAGCCACATTTTTTGAGCTTTAAAATTTTTTTGCATGTTGTCTTTTCCAATTACGTCATTTATATATCTTGTCTCTCCTAATTAGATCAAACATATCATGGGGCCATGATCTGTCTCATCTTGAGGCAGCCCTTGGCAATGAGGCCAATCACTGCATGGGAATCAGATGTTTCTAATATGAACTATCTCAGGAACCATAAGCCACTCATTTGACCCCTCTGGGCTTCACCTGCGTCATCTATAAAGTGAAAGGGTTAAATTCAATCATGGCCAAAGACATTTCTGGATCCAACATACTCTAGTCCTACTTTGTGACGTTTTCACTGTGCTTCCTTGTTCCTTTCTCAGTGCTGGCCCCTAAGTGGACTTAAATACAGTTTGTTGAGTAACAATTGCTAGGGCAAGTTTCTTTACACCCCTATTTTATTAATTTCCTAATAAAACTTTATACAGCTGACCCTCTTAGGAGGCAGGTTTGAACCCCGCGGGGCCCATACCAGGACTTTTTCAGTTGACCCATGCAGTTTGAACCCTCCATTGTTGTGTCAATTTTGGCGGTTGAGAATATCGGGAGGAGGAGGGAGTAGGGGAGGACCGACTTAAGGTATACTGGGATTTTTGCCTCGAGCGTGATGGGCTCCCCTAACCCCCCACATTGTCAAGGGTCAACTGTATTTCTCTGTGATAGCTAATGATGCCTTTCTTATAGTGTTTAAAGGACAGCCATGTCACTTAATCCATAAAATA